GTTGCTACTCCATACTCTCCTCCCAAGAGAACTCTTCTCACACCTATTGAGAAACTAGAAGTGCTGTGTGAATCCATGGTTGAATTTGACTCTTTGGCTGACAATGGATTTGATTTTCGCTCCATTGTTAGAGCTCAAGGTTGGGTGAAATACTTTGATAGGTTGTTTGGACCAGTTTACCCTCTACTTGTGAAGGAATTCTGGATTCATGCATCTGTGTATCCCAAGTTTATTCTATCATCTGTGCTGGGAAAGGAGATTATCATCATAGAGGATCTGAAGAAGATTAATTGGTTATGAAGAAACAGATGGTGTTTCACACTTGCCAGTTGGGCGTGTGGATACGGATGAAGTTTATGAGGAAGTTATGACTGCTGGACAAGCTTCTAACAGATTCAAAGATCTGAAGCCTGATTACAAGATCTGGGCCAAGATCTTCATGGGTTGCATACATCACAGGAAGTCAACAAATTCCCCAGATTATGTCAACAATGAACAGATCTATTTTATGTACTGCCTCAGTCAGAGCAACAAGGTAGATCTTCCTTAAATTTTGTTCATGCATCTGTGGAATCACATAAATGCATCTAGAGAATCTGTAAAAGAAAAAGGCCAGAAGATCAGGACTTGGATACCATTTGGAAGATTGATCTCAGATCTTCTCACTGAAAATGGTTTAGTGGCTGCTCTGTATGATGCTGGAGTTACAGAGGAATTAGAGTTCATTATGGGAAAACCTCTAAACGCTAAAAGTCTTCTGAGACTTAAGATTGTAGATGAACTCACCACTGCTCCAAAGAGGCTGAATATGTCTGAGTTGAATAAGAGGGTTCCAGTATCTGGCTTTCCTCTATTCTTTGCTGAAGAACCTAGACATATAGTACTGATGTATATAAAGGAATGCAAAAAGGAAGGAGTACCTGTTCCAGCCAATGTGTTTCAACTTGTCAAACAACCACTGCCAGATGCAGGAGAAGAAGAAGAAGTACCACTTCAGAGGAAAAGGTCTCAGCCTGCAGCAGAATCTGAACCTGTCCAGAAGAAGGATAAGATTGCTGAGAAGCCAAAGAATCTACTAAAGAGAAAGGATTCTGAAGAAGCTGCCTCTGCATCTGCTAAGAGGATTAAACTCAAAGGTACTAAGCCTTCTGTTATTTCTAAAAATGTTGTTATTAATGATTCATCTATTAAGTCTGTTCCCAAACCACCTGTCACTCAAACAACTTCTGTTGCTGCCCCTAGTTCTGTCTCACCTCAAAAACAAAACACTGCTTCTGTATCAAAAACTCCTCAACCCAAAATACACATCAAACACTTCATTCCACGTCCATCACCATCAGCTCCACAACCAACAAAACCACAACAATCACAACCAACAGAACCACAACCATCAGAACAACAACAACCTTCTGATAAACAAAACTCTGATCAACCACAAACAGAACATCAACCAAAAACTTCTGAACATCCAGAAAACCAAACCACAGAAGATCAACCAGAAAAAGACTCTGTCATACCACCATCAAACATTCCATCTTCTGAACCAGTTGCACCTGTTACTTCTGAACCCACAAAAGTAACTTCTGCTCCTATTTCATCTGAACTACCTTCTCAACAATCTGATATTCCTTCAGAACCTTCTCATATCCCTGAGACAGAAGTTCTTGATATCACTCCATTAAAAACAGTGTTTCAAGTTTCTTCTACCTCTTGTACACCTACAACATCCTCCAACTCATCAAAATCAGAAATTCATCCAGATTTTCTGATTAATCCATCTGACAAATATCCTGTACATGAACCTGAACCTGAACCTAAATCAACCTTACCTGCTAAAACTTCCATTTCAGACCCTTTGCCTCCACCTGCACCATCATCTGAGATGATTGTTCCCACTTCCAATCCATCATCATCTGGTATATCTTGTGCTCAAGTGTCTTCTCTTTATCATAATTTATCTTATGGTTTCAAACTAAAAGATTTTTATGATAGAGTTGAACCTTCTGAACCCTTGAAACCTCTGAAACCTAAACTCAGACAGGCCCTTCCATCTGTAATCATTTCATATATTCAATCTATGAACAATGAAGGATCTTTAGCAACCATATCTGCTACATTTGGTAAAGTTGTTGTTTCAGCTCTGCAACCTGCATCTGATAACACAGTTGCATCTGATAAACCATCAAACTCTGCTTTCGTACCATATTCTAATGCATCCTTTGATGTTGTTTACCCACGCACAAGACCACAACCAAATCTGATTAATGCTTTAAACAGATCCTTACCCCAAAAACCAGAAATACCATTCATTCCATATTATCCCCCTCCTCTGATTTCTATCCCAAAATCACTGATACCACCAACTCCCAAACCTAAACATATGACTCTGGAAACCTTGCTTAAACCACCACCCAGACTTAATATTGATCATTTATTTCAAACGTTTTTGCAAGAAATACAGATGTCTTTAGGTACTGTTTAGAAGAGATGCTCTGAAACTATGGATGCAAATGAAACTGACATCATCTGGAAAGGCTTTATCAATAGATTCAACACTGTAGCTTCCAATCTGAAGAACATCTGTTCTGATGATGCAAAGCTCAGAGCTGAAAGAACTCAATTCTGGATTGTCAACAAGACTGAACCTCTGCTTCGTTTGGATGCTCCTCCTCCTCCACCAGAACCAACTGCCAATGCATTGACTATGACTCTGGTAGAACCCTCTTCAGGATCTCCAGAACCTATGGCAATTGACTCTGTTCAGGCTGTAGAACCTCCATCCTCTTCATCAGAGATTAAGACAGAACATCCAGATTTTGGAGACAAGATTGCTGCTCTGGAGGCTGGTCAATCTGAAATAAAATCTTGGATGGCGAAGCAAGATAAGAAATCTGAGGACATGTCAGAGTGGATGTCAAAGCAAGATGAGAAGAATGAGACAATGACTAAGTGGATGTCAAAGCAAGAGCAATCATCATCTGAGATCACAGACCTATTGAAGATGCTTTTGTCAAAACACTCTTAGATGTTTTTCTTTTCTTCTAATGTTTGTGCATCTGTTGTTTTGCATCTGAATGTTTTTATTGTTATATCTTCTGATATTTACCAATGTACTCTTGCTCTGTTTTGTTAAATGAATCAGTTTTTTTTTCTCAGTTGATTTATCTATTTATTATTCCTTTTATTTGTCTTTATTAAAAGTTTTTACTTTTTGCTTATGACAAAAAAGGGGGAGAAAATAAAGATCTGAACTATTTAATATAATTTCACTAGAACGAATCTTCAGACATATCTATTCTTTCTAATATTTAAATTGACCATTTCAGAACATTTGATAAGAACACTCTATAAAAGAATCTCTGAGACTCTCAGATCATTTTTTTTATCAAACTCTGAATCTCATATCTGCAAGATATTCTGACCCATAATTATTACAAAGACAAACAAGATCTGACTCTGAAGATTACTCAAGATAAAAAGGGAAGTTTCTATTCCTTTTTCATATTTAACTCAGGGGGAGATTCATCATCTCAGGGGGAGTTATAATTCTTTTTGTTCAATTAAATAAAATTTCTGATACTTTTTGTCATCATCAAAAAGGGGGAGATTGTTAGAACACAGATTGGTTCTTAATAATTACTCTTTGTTTTGATGATAACTGTTAGGAAATTTATATTTAAGAATTATATACTCTAAAATTTATTTGAGAGTTTTACTGCAGATTGAAATAATATTAACTCTCTAGAAGCAAATCTGTTTTGAATACAAGAAGTTATTCTGACTCTGAAGCGCCAGATGCACCCTACAGAAGAATCTGATTTCTCCTTACAGAAGATCCTGAGCGTAGTCTCCAGAAGGATCTGAAGCAAGAAGCTCCAGAACATTCTGACTCAGAAGCATCTGAAGATATCAGAAGCATATGAAGCTGAAGCATCTGAAGCATAGAAGAATATTTATTGAAGAGTTTCTCAAAGCATTTATCTACAGAAGTTTCTGAAAGTACCTACGCTGCCTAGTACTGAAGTTCTGTGTCAAAATGCTCTGATGATCAACACGCTAAAAGCACACCTGCTGCAGAAGACTCTGATACAACATAGTTCTGAATTTCATTAGAAGACTCTGATCCATTCAGACTCTGAAGAACTTGCTGAAAACTGAAGAAGCAATTTTCAAGAATATATCCGTTGGAGCTATTCAACGTCTCTTTCCTTATTTGTGCTAGACACACTTACACAAAAAAAAAGGATTTTGTTGTGCCATCTACTTCTAGGAAAGGTCACTTGATGTGAAGACAAAAAGGCTCAGACCTTTTGGGACTCTCTTTTCAACGTTCAGCTGCCTATAAAAGGAGATCTTCACCACATTCTTCAGTAACACACTTTGCTGAAAAGAAATCAATATATTCTAAAGCTCTCATTTATTCTTATTCTTCATAGAATCTCATTGTACTTAAACTTAAGAGAAAAATCACTGTTGTGATAAAAGCTTTTTAGAAGCATTAAAAACTCTTGTATTTAATTTACATTGATTGTAAAGGTTATTCCTTAAGAGGATTCAGTTGGAATCAGTAGCTCTTAAGAAGACTAAGAACTGTTGTTCTTAGGTGATACTATTGTAATCAGTTTGATTTAATAGTGGATTAAGTCCTTGTTGAGAAAGGCAAATCACTCTAGGAAGGGTGGACTGGAGTAGTTGTTAAACGAACCAGGATAAAAATAATTGTCTGATTATTTTCAAGTCTTAATTTTCCATACTTATTCAACCCCCCCTTCTAAGTATTATCTCACCTTCACTTTCCTCACCTTCTTTTCGCCGAGGAAGTTACGAATCTCGATAGCAGTATTACTGTTAGCGATACTAGCATTAATCGGAAAATGAGCATACACAAATCGCATCTTATAACGATACCCCTTAGTAACACCAGTGATCAAATTATCCACATGACTAAGAGCAGTGCGAATAGCAGCAGAGGTTTTCCTAGATCCAAACCAAGCTTCAACCTATAACTTCCTCTTCCCATTTTCATCAGTAATGTGCTGAAAGTCGAGATTCAAATGCTTGAAATCACGAACCAGTTTCCCACGTGGACCTTCAACCTCGATGAGTTTCGCGTGCACCTTGATGCTAACCCCTTCGGGGACGTCCATCGTTTCGGAGGAGAGAATGGTTTTCATCTTGTCCTCTCTCGCCGGCGGACACGCGCTGTGGAAATTCTGTGTGGCAGAGAGAGGTTTTAGGGTTTTCTTGCGAGAAAACGAAGGCGTTGTAGGGAAGAAAGAGTAAGGGAAAGTGAGATGAAAATGGCAGAGGGTGTTGGTCGAATGGTTGCGGAGATGAGAGGGTGAGTGGTTGGGGCGCCGATTTGGGATTCTAGGATGATGAGCAGTGTTCGATTTAGGGTTTTGGGGTTGAATTTGTGATAGTTTTCTTTAGGGATGCCTTTCAAAATTAGGGGCGGCCATTATTTTTTTAGGGTTGTGTGAACAGTATCTCCCCCAATCTGTAGGGTATTCTTCCCTTTATATCCAACATCCGTGTCTTCTCATTCAAATTTTTTCTTTTTTTTTTTAATTTTTTCTTTTAATTTATTTTTCTGAATAATAAACTAAATTAAAAACCTATTTCCTATTTAATTAATTCTAACTATTAATTATAAATTTAAATCTAAACTAATTAATTAAAATCTAATCTAATTTTTTTAAAAATAAATCCTAATTAAATTCTAACCCTATTTTTTAATATATATTTTTTAAAATTAAAAATTTCTAAATTATAATTATGCTCTAAATTAAATCTATTTAATTAAAAAAATTAAATTTAAATCCTAATTTCTAATTCAAAACTAATTAAAAAATGAAAACATTATATTAACCTATCACGAGAAAAATGAAATTATATAAAAAAAAAAGATAGATATATATAAAAAACAAATGCCACGCGGCAAAATTTATTGGGCTAAAAAAGAAAATGCCTGCTTTTGCTGAAAAATATGCTACGCTGTATAAGCGAGGTAAATTAAAAACAAAGTCGGGCAAATGAGAAATTTTGAAAAAAAGGTAGGACAAATTTGGGGTATGACAGATGCCCCTATCTAATTGCCTGGAACCTGAGAGAATGAACGGCTGCAGAGCGTTCATTTTAAGGTGGAAGTCAATTAGATACAAGAAGACCCCGAAATTTGTCCGACAAGTAAGTAAAATGCAAAGAGATAGGATATACCTGAACGGGATGACAAGATGCAAAATAGATGAACGAGATAACCTGATATTCCCTGGGTGGTCAAAGCAGTCCCTTATCCAATAAGGTTCTTCGCGGTACCAGAGCGGTATAAGTGATCCTCCTTGGGTGGTCGAAGTGGCCCCTCATTCGTTAAGGTCCTTCGATGATACCAAAGCAGTATCTCGAACAAAACTTGAGATTCTTCGGGTGGTCGAAGCAGTACCTTTCATTCGTTAAGGTCCTTCGATGATACCAAAGCAGTATCTCGAACAAAACTTGAGACTCTTCGGGTGGTCGAAGCAGTACCTTATCCATTAAGGCTCTTCGATGATACCAAAGCAGTATCTCGAGTGATAATTTTGCTGAGGAATAGTTGAGCTAAAATTCCTATTTAAGGGAACAGCGTAGTCCAATCTCTGCAGGGGAGAAATCTTCCATAAACTCTCTAAGATAACCTCTGCTTGGGGAACAATAAGAGCAACGACTGTTGGGAATCGTCATTATCAACTGCATGGTTGAAGAATGACTTGCTGGGGATGGAATTCTTTGAACACGTGCTGGGTACCAACTCTGTTTTAGAGAAATATTGCCGACTTTGTTAGAGGACCGGTCAGGATACTTGTGAACTGATCATGGATCCTGTTATGCCATGTCGCTGGGGATAAAATGCAATGCTTTGTATGATGCGCAAATATGCAACTAAAATGCAATTATGCTAGGGAATGCAAGATGCATATGCAAATGATTGAAATGCAATGCATATGAGAATGCAACCGGTAACGGGATTTGGTAAGGCTTTATTTCTGGTTTTCCACAAGGGATTATTTTTGGTATTAGGTGAAACAAGGTGAAAAGATTTACGAGGTATATTGGCACATCAACTCGGGGGTTGAGAAGAACAAATATACTATCGACTCGGGGGTCGAGGATAAATCAGAACAACAAGTCAGCTTGAGGATTGAAGAAGAATAGCAAATATCGACTCGGGGGTCGAGGGAAAATAAAGGCAATATCGACTCGGGGGTCGAGGAAATGAAGACAAGTATCGACTCGGAGGTCGAGGAAATGAAGACAAGTATCGACTCGGGGGTCGAGAAAAAAAGATAACAAAGATATCGACTCGGGGGTCGAGAAAATAAATACATATCAACTTGGGGGTTGAAGAAAGGTGAATATCAACGCGGGGGTTGGAGAAAGGTAAATATCGACCCGGGGGTCGAAAAAAACAAAATATCAACGCGGGGGTTGAAGGAGGAAAAGGAAAATATCGACTCGGGGGTCGAGAAAATAAAGACATATCAACTCGGGGGTTAAAAGAGGAAATGATCGTGCTATGTATGCGTATGATACATGTCAATTGTATGATGCATATGTGAATGCAGGCAGAAGATTGGTTTATGAAGGTGCCAACAAGGGTGGGCTTTTGGTAGTTGCCAATATAAATTGGACTTTAGGAGAGGTGCCAAGCAGGGTTGGACTTTTGGGTGGTGCCAAGCAGGGTTGGACTTTAGGAGATGCCAAGCGGGGTTGGACTTTTAATGGTTGCCAATACAAATTGGACTTTAGGAGATGCCAAGCGGGGTTGGACTTTGGTAGTTGCCAATAAAGAATTGGACTTTAAGAGATGCCAAGCGGGGTTGGACTTTTAATGGTTGCCAATACAAATTGGACTTTAGGAGATGTCATGCGGGGTTGGACTTTTAAGGGTTGCCAATACAAATGGACTTTTTGAGTTTTAAGGGATGCCAACAGAAGTGGACTTTATTTGGTAGTTGCCAATATGAATTGGACTTTTAGGAGGGGTGCCAAGCAGGGTTGGACTTTGGTAGTTGGTTGCCAATCAGGGTTGGACTTTTATTTGGTAAAAGTATTTGACTTCCCGACACACGGTATCTGATAATGATATGCTCATAAGACAGATGTGGATGTTCTCGGTGCTCCAAGTTAGATCCTTGCAGAAGTTGGCTGCTTATTCCTGGGAGAACCTTAACTTCTAGCCAATGTGCCATGACGGCTTACAAATGTTGAGCGTAGCGACATAACCAAAGCATGTTGAACGTGCGAGCGTAACGAATTAACCAATGCATGTTGATCGTGCTTTTGCTCTGCCCCAAGGCTTTTGACGTCTGTTGTGAACTCAACAGTTACTGATGTCTGGCATGGTCAGCTTGACCAACTTTGAAAGTAAGGAGGGAAAATGCCCCTATTTAACTAAACTGCCTCAGTCTGCCAGGTATTTGAAGATTTTTCCTTAAAGATTTATACCATGACATGGTCTGTGATGATTTCCCCAGTGTCTAGATTTTGCAACAATATGCCCCTGTTTGAAACTCGGAAGAACTTGCCCCAGTCTGCAGGGTTATGAGAAATTCTTGATTCAGGTCGACACCAATGAGTGATCAAGTTCCTCTTTGATTGCACTTTATTGGAATTTCCATAATGCCAAGTACTGACTTGCAGTTAAATGTGTTTATTGAAAAATGGTAATTTTAATGCGATATTTATGCAAAATTTAAAAGGATCATTTATTAGAATGATGTGACAGTGTATGACGAGTGGACTATTAGTCCAAACACAGTGCTAATTTATCTGGTGCGAAAGATATAGCAAGAATAATGACACCAATGCTGGTGATTAGCAATCATGTGAGGAGTCAGGTTACGCAACCTCGCAGTAGTATGCTTTCAAAATAAACTCTGCCTCAATTAGGTCTTTTGAGGGTCGTATCATGGTCTGGTTCACGGTTATAGAAACAAAGGATATTAGGCTCAAAGTTTGATTTGTACCCACCCCTTCTTCGTAATGATCTCCATACCTACGTTCAGTTAATTTTGCCCTTGTTTTACCTTGACAGTGTAAAACTTGATGATTCAAGGTTTGCTCGGCGTGGCAGTCACCTTATTTTGATGGATGTCAGTGACCCTTTTGATTCTGACATAGTGGCCACTGAATCTTTTTTGTTTTTTGTTGAGGGTTTCGAGGGCCTCTTTTGCTTTGTTTTTGATCCCTAACTTTTGCCTGGACTGACTTTGCTTGTCAGATCCATCGGGATTGCCTTGATTTTTTCCTAAGTCCCCTTTTGAGGTGTTCAACTTAGCAGGCTTTTGAATTTTTTTTTGAAGGATTTGTGGCTGCCAAGTCATTGGTCATTGATGAACCGTCATGACTTTTGGATTTTGTCTCGTGATTCGAGTGCGTAATCAGGTTAACTGAACACTACCCTTTCCCCAGGTTAAGAGTAAGGGTTTAGTAATCCGAAGGAAACTCCTACTTCTAGGCTCGAAGTGGTTGACTAGGGACTAACTCCTTATCTCTCCAGTGTTTGGGGATTTGGAACAATGCCTGTACATCATCAGCAGAATTTTATCCAAAAGCATACCATCAACAGTTATGGGTATTTAGTTTTCTTTAACCTCGATGAGTTTCGCGTGCACCTTGATGCTAACCCCTTCGGGGATGTCCATCGTTTCAGAGGAGAGAATGGTTTTCATCTTGTTCCCTCTCGCCGACGGACACGCGCTGTGGAAATTCTGTCTGGCGGAGAGAGGTTTTAGGGTTTTCTTGCGAGAAAACGAAGGCGTTGTAGGGAAGAAAGAGTAAGGGAAAGTGAGCTGAAAATGGCAGAGGGTGTTGGTCGAATGGTGGCGGAGATGAGAGGGTGGGTGGTTGGGGCGCCGATTTGGGATTCTGGGATGATGAACAGTGTTCGATTTAGGGTTTTGGGGTTGAATTGGGGATAGTTTTCTTTAGGGATGCCCTTCAAAATTAGGGGCGGCCATTATTTTTTTAGGGTTGTGTGAACAGTATCTCCCCCAATCTGTAGGGTACGCTTCCCTTTATATCCAACATCCGTGTCTTCTCATTCAATTTTTTTTTTTAATATTTTCTTTTAATTTATTTTTCTGAATAATAAACTAAATTAAAAACCTATTTCCTATTTAATTAATTCTAACTA